GCTCCTGGGAGGGCAAGGGCCGGCTCCTCCGGGCACCCTTTGCCAAGCAGGATCGCCGCCCTTCCTCGCGTGGGCCAAGCGGCGACCTCCTGCCTCACTCCCGGCTCCTCCCCAGCGACCGGCTGGCCGTCCAGCAGGGTGGCCCTCGGAAGAAGGCGGCGGCGGAGAGCAGGAGCGGCAGCAGCAAGCGCAGCCGAGCTCTGTTCCTGCGCAGGAGCAAGGAGGCAGGAGCCCCGACTGGGGCTGCCGAGGAGCGTCCGGGCTGCCCGCCAACCAGTGGGGTCTTGACTTTGAATTTCCCGTTTTTTTTTCCTAAACTTTTTGGTATGTACCTCAAGTCTCCGTCCGCAAGTCAAAATCGATTTTTGCGGACGGAGAGGTACGCAACTCAAAAAGTTCGCAAGTCAAGCCGTTCGCAAGTCAAGACCCCACTGTATATTGGTGAAGAGGCTACATGGGCTTTTTGAGGCTTCATCCTGTGCCCACCTGCCCTTGTGATGGGTGCCTATCACAGCCACTAGCTGCTGCTGCTGTGGTGGCTTTTTTCTTCTTGCAGTGTGGCATAGCGCTAGTACAGAATGACAGATAGAAAAAATTAACAGAGAGGTTTCCTTGGAATCCAAGACATGCACAGGGAGACAGACACAGACATACACACACAGGGGAAGAAAGACTGACAGACAGATACAGAGGGGTGGAGAACAAGGGAGCCCACGGTGAAACTGAATAGAGACCAATAAGGGAGACACAGAGTCTGGGCTGAAACTGACCAGAGATATTGAGAAGGAGGGGGAGAAACCCACATATACAAACACACATGCACACAATGGAGAAAGAAAGGTAGCAGGGAAGGCACACCAGTAAGTGGCAAACTCCAGAGACACAATTTATACCGACAGAGGTGTTCACATGTATAAAAACAACTGAAAATAAATCAGTTTCACAAACAATTTAAATAAATGAGCCTCTTGCAGGCGAGTAAAATATCTTGGTTTCCAACCTAAAAACATGTTCCCCAGGCAAAACAATCTGCACTTCCATGTGCACCATGTAGTCATCAAAAGAAACAAACAAACAACAGTTAGCTTTCGATGAGAAATCATCTTCTTCAAGGCTGTGCATCAAGTTCTTTTGGGTAGTTCCAATTTCATGTCCCAAACTGACATGGTTGATGACGTACAGGCCAGGTGTACAGTGGTGCCTCGCATAACGAGCACCCCATTTAACGACAAATCTGCATAGCGATGCGGATTTTGCGATCGCAAAAGCGATCGTATGTGATGTTCCCTATGGGGAAAAATCGCTTTGTGATTTTTTCCCATAGGCCCCATTTTCCCCCAGCTGTTTGGCGGGCGCTTCGGAAGGACCACAGGAGAGCCCTCCCCCACGGTCCTTCCGAAGCGCCTGCCAGCCAGCTGGGGGAAAATGCCATCCGGCGCTTCGGAAGGACGGCTGGGGAGCCCTCCCCCGCGGTCCTTCCGAAGCGCCCACCGGCCAGCTGGGGGAAAATGCCGAAGGGGGCTTTGGGAGGATGGCGGGGGAGCCCCCCCTAGTGGTCCTCCCAAAGGCCCCATTTTTGCACAGCTGATTGGTGGTTCCAAAATGGCTGCCCGCAGCGTTTTCACGCCGATTCCTCGCTTACTGAGGCGATGAAAATGGCGGCCCTATGGACGATTCCTGCTTAGCGGTGAGTTTACCCCCCATAGGAACGCATCAAACGGAGTTTAATGCATTCCTATGGGGTTTTTCTTTCCGTTTAGCAATGTTTCCGGATAGCGACGTTAATCCTGGAACGGATTAACATCGCTATGCGGGGCACCACTGTACTGAACAAATATTGAAGAGTGCTGTCCTCTGAAGATGCCGGCCACAGAGACTGGTGAAAGGTTAGGAAGAACAACCTTCAGAACACGGCCAAAGAGCCCGAAAAACCCACAACAACCATTAGATCCTGTCCATGAAAGCTTTCACGAATACAAATATGTACTGTTTTATTAAAGTTTTTACTTGGAAGCTAAACCTGTGACTGGCTGGTAGTGTATGGACAGATTTTATTTTCTTGGGCTCCATGATCGCTGCAGATGGAGACAGCAGCCACAAAATTAAAAGACACCTGCTTCTTGGCAGGAAAGCGATGACAAACCTCGACAGCATCTTAAAAAGCAGAGACATCACCTTGCCAACAAAAGTCAGAATAGTCAAAGCTATGGTTTTTCCAGTAGTGATGTATGGAAGTGAGAGCTGAACCATAAAGAAAGCAAACCGCCAAAGAATTGATGCCTTTGAATTGTGGTGCTGGAGGAGACTCTTGAGAATCCCCTGGACTGCAAGGAGAACAAACCTATCCATTCTAAAGGAAATCAACCCTGAGTGCTCACTGGAAGGACAGATCCTGAAGCTAAGGCTCCAATACTTTGGCCATCACATGAGAAGAGAAGACTCCCTCTTCTCTTGATGTTGGGAAAGTGTGAAGGCAGGAGGAGAAGGGGACGACAGAGGACGAGATGGTTGAACAGTGTCATCGAAGCTAAAACATGAATTTGACCAAACTCCAGGAGGCAGTGGAAGACAGGAGGGCCTGGCATGCTCTGGTTCATGGGGTCACGAAGAGTCGGACACGAGTAAACAACAAGAAAACCTGTGAAGGTTTTCGAGACAATCCAGTCTGTTTGACTGGGATTGGTCAACGTTTTCAATTTAGAAATGCATCCCAACAGGTTCGAACCAGGGGCTCACCTAAAAGTAACTGTTTCATTTTAGTCATTCTTTCGGTCCTTTCCTTTCACGTCTTATCCCGTCGGGAACCCGTACCCCACGGAGGAGGGAGTAACCAATGGGGTTTACTTCCCGAGATTTCTTTCGGCTGTTTTCTTTTCTTTTTTTCCAGAAATGGGGGGGGGGGGGAAGAGGCACAAGCCATCTCTTCGCAAATGCCGCCGCCACCACAACTATCCAGTTCCAGGCACATGTACTCGCCGCTGCGAAACGGGAAGTGGAAAGCACCCCACCCTGCATTCCTTTCCCTGGGAGGGGGGGAGAAGGCGCCAACTCTGTCTCCTGACCTCCCTGCCCCAGGAGGAGGCTTCTTCGTCTCCCCTTGCCTGGAGGGTGGAAGGCAAGTCTCGACAGCCCGGCCCCCCCTGCCGAGTCTATCGCGAAAGTTTGTATTAAGAGGTCGAGGCAGCGCAATTAGTTGCCGCCCCTGTTGACTCAGGCCAGGCACCCGGATGGCGTGGAAAGGGCTATATCGCCGTGTGTTTCTTCCCTCGGTCACGGGGGAGGGAATTCACCGCCCTGGAGAGTTTGGTGCCTGAGGCGGCTGCTTCCTTTCGCTTCTCGGGCGGGCCCTCTGGCTACAACCCGGTTGACAGTTCGTTAGGTGGAACATGCAGGAAGGAAAGCGAAGACTGTTGACCCCAGCGCCACTTCAAACTTTGCGGGATAGGACGTGTGTGTGTGCGTGTTGCGGGGCGGGGGTGGTGGTGGAAGGAAGTTTTCGTCAGCAATTGTGAGCCTTCGCTAATACATTAAATTGCGAGGAAAACGCGCCAAAACCTCTCGACAGTGTCTTGCGGGTGCGGAGGCCTCGACACGTCCTCTGCCTCGCTCCGTCTTATTCCCTACCTTTGCGCAATACCTAAGCCTTTTTTTCCCCGTCTTGCCTGAGGGAGAGACACTACCTGCGTTTTCGAAGACCGCGGAAACTTCGTAAGGCAGGAAGGAGGGACGGGTCACTTTTCGGCGGCCCTCCGCCCTCTTCTTCTTTCCTTCCCTTTCCTCGTCCTACCGCCAAGCAGCTGCGGGCCTCCAGGGGATCAGCCTTTCCTGCGCTGGCCGGGCAGGCGGCGGCGGCGGCTGCGCGCCCGCTGCTTCTGCTCCCAGGTACCTGTTCCACTTCTGTCCACTTTCCCCGCTCTCCACCTGACTGGGGGGTGTCTTCTCCTGTCAAGGCTTGGGAAAAGCCGGTGCCACCGACGCCCCCGGGAATGTTGCCTTCGCTCCAGTGGCGTGAGTTTATTTTGATACGGAACAAGCGAAAGTAAAAATAACCCAGGCGCAAGAAGGCAGGGTGTCCTAAAGGGGAAACGTCCAATTTCTTTTTTGGTTCAGGCGCTTTAATAGAGCTCTCGCATCTCGAAATGAATGTTTCAAAGAAATTCGCTTCACCTGCCCTCTGTTTCGTCTTTTGCAATAGACACCTCTGCATTGGCTGAAGCTGGTAGGTTAGTAACACTCGGAGAAGTTAATTCTTGCGCCGAATTTCCCCAGGAAACTTAGAAACTCCCGGCTTTGTTTGGAAGATTGTTTAATCTCGTTGAGGATCGAATCGTGGTTTAGGAGTTAACTTTCCAGTAAAATATTGCAGTCCGAAGTTATTATGTTTATTGGTTCAGCCAGCCACCCAGGCATGTCCTCTTCTCCAAATTCAGTTCACTGCACCCTCCCGCCTGATTTTTGCTTTTCTGACCCAGTAGAGAAACTGAACTCCCAGCCCGCCATTAGGCGTTTTTACAGGATCGTCTCCTTTAGATTATTTTTATTATTTTATTTTAAATATTTTTACCCTGCCTTTCTCCTTGAAAAGGACCCAAGGCAGCTTACACCATTGAAAGACAATATTTAAAACTCGAAACAATGAGTATGCAAAGGTGACTACAGTAGTTTTCTCTGACTCTAAAGTTGCTTGTAGTTTTGCAAAAACTTTGTTCTGGTGTGTGTGTCTCTACCTGTATGTCTGTGTAGGTGCTGGCTACATACACAAGGATGTCCTGTTGAACGCTGGAAATATAAGCAATGACTATTACTGGTACTGATTTTTTTAAAAAAACCCTGTCCTATGGCCATCCTCTCATTCAATTTGATAGAAAAGAAATTGGGGAGGGAGAAAGTGACGGAGAAAATACTCATGGACAGGGTTCAGGATGCATACTTATGGCATGACTGGGGAAATGTGCACGTGTGCCTTGTCTTTCTACAGTCATTTCTTCCTCTGTGAAAGCCCAGGGGAAGGTGTCATAAGGTCACTCCTTTCACAGGGCTTTTTCAGATTCGAAGATGTTGGAAGCCCAGGAAGTGAGAGTGAGATGTGCAACAGAAAGAGGGGGGAAAGAGTGCTGCACTCTCAGCCACCTTGTCATGTTAGGCCATACTCAGAAATATAACAAAATAAATAAATAATAGGAGAAGGCTAGAGTGCAAGTGGAGGAAGAACCCGACAGATTATAATTGGATTATAATTGGATAGCTGTCAGGGTCGCAACTAACCTCTATCTGGCTAAGGTAAAGGCTGCTAGTTGTGTATACTTCGCTAACCGGATAAGCGAAGCTTCAAATCAGCAGGCGGAGTTATTCCGTATAGTGCGCGACCTACCCGGAATTGTTCTGAGTGATGGGCCTCCCCCTAGTTTTTCACCGGACCAATTTGCAGCATTTAAAAAATCTAAAGTGGAGGCCATCCGCCGGGACCTCTCTCCTTTTTTAAATACAGTGAGTCGAGCTGAGATGTCCAGCGCTCCGTCTTGCCTGGTGACTTTCGATTGCTTTCAGCCTGTGACGCTGGATACTGTGGACAAGGCACTTGATCGCTGTCGTGCCACCACCTCCTCCCTGGACCCTTGCCCAGCCTGGCTAATCAAAGCAGCCAGGCCTATGACAACGGAAATCTCCAGAATCTGAAAAACACACCATTGTTTTCTTCCAAAGAAAGAATTAAAGAAAGAAAAAATGTCAGTAGAGAAGCTCTAAGTTCTCTGTGGGAGGTGCATAAAGGTATTGATGGGGCTGCATTTAAGAGATAGCAACTCTTTTCATAGCGGTTGGAATTGCTCTGCCCATAGGGTGGGCATGGTGTTCTTGCCCTGCAATCTTTGCAGGGGGGCATTGTTCCAGATTTCTTTCCTTACGTGCCTAGTCGCTGCTTCCTACTGCTGCAAGGTTCTCTTTGCCCTTTCTTTGCTTATTCTTATTACTCAGAAAAGTTTCCACATAACATTGCCTGTCCTAATTGACACCAGGCAGGGCATCTGGATCAACTGCCCTCCCTGATTGCCATATAAATTCAAAATTGCTCCCCCCCCGACAGGTGCCAGGGAGAGGAACAGAAATTGGCATAAAGGAAGATGCTTATAGTCAATCACAGTGTGAGTCTTGCACATACTCTAAGAAACAGCAAACTGGTGGTCATTTGCTGTCCTAGAGAGCAGTGCCCCTGGAATCAGTAGGTCATATGCCTGCATTAATTTTCTTCCTTTTTAAGCAAAGCAGCTGCAGATTTGAGTGTGTGTTTGATCTTTCTAGTTCTCACAAATCTCATGTCAAGGAAGAAGCAGGCAGAATGCTTTGCAAGGGAGCTTGCTTTGCATAGTTCAAGATCAGAAAAGGCAGAGGGCTAGGAAGGTGTCAGGAGCCCTTGGATAAGGTACGGAAAACTCACAACAAGTATGGTCTTACTTCTGCATAGGAATACAGTGGTGCCTCACTTTACGATTGCCCCGCATTACGATGAAACTGCATTACGACACTTTTTGTGATTGCAATTGCAATCGCAAAATGATGGTCTAAATGGGGTTTTTCGCTTTGCGATGGTCGGTTCCCTGCTTCGGGAACCGATTCTTTGCAAAACGACGTTAAAACAGCTGATCGGCAGTTTCAAAATGGCCGCCGGGTAAACAAAATGGCTCCCCGCTGTTTTCTGGGATGGATTCCTCGCAAGACAGGCAGCGGAAACGGCTGCCCTATGGAGGACCTTCGCTGGACGGTGAGCTTTGACCCCATTGGAACGCATTGACAGTTTCTCCATGACAAAAGGGGTACATTGCCTTGTCTATCAAAGTGTTAATGCACTTTGATTTGCTTATTTAAATAATTTCCCAACTAATATAAATCACTGCATTTAAAACTGCAGTTGAGTAAGTTGATTTGGCTTGTTAAAATAATCTAATTTTTTATACTGGTTCTTTTCAAGATAAATTTACAAGTACCTGATCTTCCACCCAGTTTTTTTCTCCTTTCTAAGTATATCTTGTACTTTCTGTGAAATATGTTAGCATACTTTCATTTTACAAGTGGGGAAACAACAGGCTATTTCTAGAGATGTTTCCCTTTTGCTTTCACTCAAATTGGGGTTTAAGTGCAGCAATGTATTTTATTTTATTTTTTAATCCACCAAGCATACATATGCACAAGGACTGTTTTTCTTCTAGAGCACAAGTTACTGATTAGCAGAATTAATTATTAATTAACAGGATTCTGTCTTGAGAACATTCTTGTAATTATTGCATGTATTATTTCTAGGAGAAGTTGTTTACTTGTCAATAAAAGAATGTGGCATCCGCCCATGTCATGAATATTAGTGTTATATCTACATAGACCAATGGGAGTGCTGGAGGGACAGTCATAAGACTCAACAGGAAGAGGGGGAGTGAGTCACAGAGATTGAGTGTTTTGAGAGAGCGGTGGTTGAGAGTGGATGAAGGAGGCTGAATAGACCTTTGGTCTAGATGGGTGGGATAGAAGTCCAATAAAATTAAGTAAGTACCGTATTTTTCGCTCCATAAGACGCACCTTTCCATAAGACGCACCGATTTTTTAGGAGAAGAAAACAGGAAAATATAATCTGTTTTCTTCGCTCCATAAGATGCACAGATTTTCCACCCCCTGTTTTGTGGGAAAAAAGTGAGTCTTATGGTGCAAAAAATATGGCCTGTGTGGGCCACATGCAGCCTGCTTGGCCTTTTTATCCAGCCCATGTGTGCATGCGTGCAGGCAGGCAGGAGTGCATGTGTCCGTGCAGGTGGTTGTGGATGGACGGGAGTGCATGTGGGGGGGCATGCATGCAGGGCGGAAAGTGTGGGTGTGGGAGTGCATACACATGATCTCTTGAAAAGATCAAAAATATATTATGTGGCCCTTCGTATGAAAAGTTTGGAGACCCCCGCACTACACCACACTGAGAACACTCCTTTCAGAAACAGGTGAGCATAAATGTCCACAGATTTAAAATAGCTTATATAAAGTAAAAATACTAATCTTGCTTATTTTGAGAGAGAATCGTTGGCCTCACTCATTTTTATTTTTTGTTTTAATTTGGAGAGAATCCAGATTGTAGGGGCAGAAAGACTGGTCTTCAAACAAGACCCTCCAAAAGGGAGAAACAGAGATTTCTTTTCATCCTGAGTATATGTGGAACAGACTTACCAGCAAGAAAGTGTGAAGTAAACAGAATGGTTTGGCTTTATGGGCAGGGAAAAGAGATATTTGGAGAGCACAAGGCAATTAAAAGTCACAGAAACAGTCAAAAGGTAGGCTTTCTTTGAAGAGTAAAAAAAAAGGTATTGCTTTAAGGAAAGTAATTGAATGATAGTTCTCCAGAATAGGTGACATTTTGCCATGTATCACCAGGGAATTAGCATACAATTTTGTAAGGCACGTTAGGGTATTTCTGCATTAGAAAAACACAGAGCAGTTGTGTTTGTCCCAGCCATGAGTGGTTTCAGTAAGCACTCCCTCAGGATTTCTGAGACCAAGCTCCTCACACGTCTTCAAAGGAGGAATCAATTCCAGGTCTGGGGCAATCTCAACTTTTGAACCTGGAAATCAGAACCCAACTGAAATTCTAACTCCTTCCTGGACAAACAGGAATTCATGTTTGCAAAGGGATTCTGTCTCTGGTTGTAAAAATAGTTTTAAAAGCTATAAAAACAGAGAACAAATATTCAGAAGCTCACTCATTTAAGCTGTGAAACTACTGTTTCCAGCTTTATGGCTGGAGATGGTCTTATTCGGTTAGAAGAGTTTTGATGCCTATATTCTGTGATAGTCTCAGCCATTCTACCCATCTTGTCATACAAATGTCAAGTAACTTAAAAACCTTCAAATATGTT